GAAACATCAGAGCTGCCAGGACAGAATTCTGAGACAAGACTGCAAGAATCACAGCTCTTTAGACTGACAGCAATTTTTAAACATATAAAAAGGGTGTAAAGAAGAAAAGTGTGGCAATAAGAAGAATAAGGAGACCAATATGGTACCTATACTGATGGGGGAAGACCAAGACATTAACGAGCTCAAATTGTACTGTAGACAAGCAAGGAAGCACCTAAACCTGGTTGGGCCAGCTTTGGCACAGAAGGATTGAAATGCTGTCTGACTACATGTCCAGCATTCTTTATCATGCTTCTGAAATACTTAGCTGTTAAGATTTTCTGAAAGTACTTTTCAAGATGCTGGAGGTTGAGTGAAAACCAAATTGGAGTAGTTCTGTTTTAAACATAAAGGTCACTGTGATGTGAGATGAGGAATTGTCATTTCTAAACTTTATCTTGGGCATCAGAGATTGTTCATGGAACTGAATTCTTACCCAGGACAGGGAAGCAGTGCTGTGATGTCCCCCCCTGAATGCAGCCCTTTATCACCTCCTCTGCACAGGGCACATCACCATCCTCCCTTTTCTTGCTGCCATTCTCAGTCATTGCTGTGCTCCTCTGTTTATTTGGGTACCAGAACTTCACTTGCAGTGCCAAAACTCAGTCTGGTTTGACCAGAGGTTTGACAGAATAACTCATATCATGTGCCATTTTCACCAGGAAAATTATCACCTGCTTTCTTTTTCTTTATTTCACACTGGAATGGGAGCCAAGGATGTCGTCTGCTGCTGGATCTAAAAGCAGAACTCGAGGGATAACTCAGATAGGAGACAACATCTGAAATAGTCATGTACACATATGTGTGTGTTTATACGTATGCCAGAGACACCGAAGAAAATAGTCTGATAGCTATTTCCATATGTCTGCAAAAAAACTGTGAATTTTCAAGTCTTAAGATGAATGATCAAAATAGCTGTACATCAAAAATAGCCACCACAGAAAAGGATTGCCTTTGGGAGGATGCACCTCCCAAGTATTTGTTTCCATGTGCAAAAGTAATGACTAAATGTTTGGATTACAACATCTAAAGATTCTATTAAAATTAATTGGAAATATATTTTATCTCATGTGGGAAATTAGAAAACACTTGTCCTTAGCAAAACTAGAATTTGTCCCAAACTAGAGTTTGTCAGCATTTTTTCAGCCACATAATTAGAAAAAAAATAATGCAGAAGAGAAAAAGAAATGATGAATGGATGCTACATTTAGTACTGGAATTTAAGTGTCTTTGGGCAGCTAGGAAATACTGAACCAGCACACGTGGTCTGCAATAGCACACTTGTGGAACCAGAGCCCTGGCAGGCGTGCAGGAATGGATGTGGTGGTGTGGCATAAATTCAGAAATTAACTGGGCACTGTGCTCCCATGGGGAAGTCAATATCTGTGAGTCCAGAAATTTTTTAGGGAAGTAATTGAAGAAATTCAATATCAAAACTTCTTTTTAGAAGGCTTCAGTGCCTGTGCACATGGGTGTTCTTGGGGTGCACACAGTTTCTGTTGCCTGTCAAAATCTAACAATCAAATCCCCCCAGTGTGTGCTGATGTTTCTGGATCACTGCCAGATCACTTTCTTTGAAAGAAATGGAAATGCTTCCCTGTCCCCCTGGCAGAGGAGCCTGAACCTCACAAGATTCCAGACAGGACAGATCAGGGGTGTCCTGAGCAGCTCGAGTGCTCAGCCACCCATTGTTATTTCCCATGGTGTTTTACAGAGCTCACTTCAGCTCCCTCTTGAAGCCAAACCTGAAATCTCTGAAGGTGTTTGCTCTTCCCTGGCATGGCCATTTTCCACAGGTTTAGCTTGCTGCTCACCCCAGTAATACCAGAAAATGCTGTGTTGGGAAATACACTCTACAAATAAAATGACTTAGTGGCAATGCAGGCTTTAGCTGGTTTTTTCACCCATGAAGAGGTCCCTGTGCTCATTCAAGGAGCAGACTGGTGAGAATCAGATGAGGTCAGTAAATACAGATTGTCCACTGTTCATCTTTTCCCCAGACTTCAGACATAACTTCCATAAGGATCTTAGAGCAGCAGGTCAAGGCTGCATTATTGGTGTTCCTCGGAGATCTTTGAGCTGCTTCCCTGAGCAGAGCTGGACCAGACAGCCCCAGGATGCTGAGATGCTTTCCTTACCCTTGTGCCAATAAATAAACCATTTATTTATGGCTCAGAATGCATTGGTTGACCACACATTAACTGGTTACAATTAGGACAAAATTAATGAATTTTAGTCATTTGAGCCTCATTTATTTTGTCACTTGTCATGGGATATGATTCAGAAGGAAGCCCATGGATTAGAAGGATTTCTTTAAGTCTTGCACTCTTTAATTTGGGGACAGGAATATCAAAATGCATTGAAGAAAGCAGAAATAAGTGCATTGATGAACTTTATTATTTAACCTTCCTCCTCAATAACCAGCCTTTATTTTATCAAACCCCAGGGTGCTTTCTGTCCATCCCTGACAGCATTCAGTCCTGAGGTTCCTAGAGAAAGCTCAAATTTTTCTGACAGAATTCAGAATATTGTTTTTACATTTCCAGTTTTCCATGGGAAGCATTAAACTTTTAGTAGAAACTGCCTTCAAATTCTGCCCAGGGTTGAGGTATTGGGCAGATTGTCTCTAATCTATCTATAGATTTTTCTACTATTTTGGATGTCCATGTGACACTCAGCAGAGTGCTGAGATCCACCAAAAAATGGGATTTCTCCAAGCAGAGGAAAATACAGTGGTTTAGAGACAGCTCCTTTGAAAGTGTGGTGCTTTTGTGCTCCAAAAGGCAAATCTGGATTTGGTGTGCTCAGGTGTGGATGTGAAATTTGGCTGCAATACCTGAGCAGCTCCTGCTGTGCTGGCTTTAGTGAGAACATGGGCTCAGGGCGTCCTGCAAACACCTGATTTTCACCTGGTGATCACCAGCAGAGCCCATTGATTACCATTGATTGGGATTATCTGGAACTTCTGAAGGAAAAAGAGACTTGGAATGATTTAAGGGCATGATTTCAAAGATGAGACATTGCTTTGAAAATATATCAAGATATCTATCAATATATATATATATATCAATTTCTACATCCTAGATTTAGGTAGATGTAGATAAAAGGCTTCTTCTCCTTATTTCTTCTCAGTATCTCATTTCTACCCAACCAATTAATGTATTAATTAATGTCTGGCCTGTGCTGGCTGCTGTAGGGGAAGGGAACAGTGTTTCACTTAATGATTTCTGTTGGTACATATTAAAGAAATTTGAGCTATGTTGTCCTTAATGGCCAGCTTTATTTTCTTGAAATAAATTTTAATTATAGAGAAATTCATAGTCATGAATCACTCTGCAAACAATCTATTATCAAATCAGCTTTTTGAGATGAATGTTAAAATAGATTTTAATCTACAACATGCAATGATGGCTTTTACTGAAATCTTAAAGAAGCCCACTTATTTGACCATAAAAATATATGACATATGCAGTTTCAAAACTATCCTAAAAGCTGCAACTTCAAACAGCTCAAGAGCAGAACTTAAATTGGAGTGGATATGAAGGTACAAAACTTCAGGAGGTCTTAGCAGAAACTTTATATATAGCTGGAGAAAATGTCACATCTTATTTTAGAATGAAGTGGTTTTTTACCTCCCAAACTGAACAGATTCAGCTTTTTTCTACCTCCTTCTTCACATGGTGTAGAATCTTATTTGGATGAACAAGTGTTCCTTATTCAAATTAAATCAATTTTCCTTTTCAGGTGTGTGTAAAATCACCTTTTTTTCAGGAAATTTGTCCTAAGGGTATGCTGCTCCCCATTCCAAACCAGTGCCCTTGGAAACACAGTCCTTTCCTCAGTGTTTTTATTCTGTAATGATTTTTATCTGGTACCTATTGACTACTGGGACTGGTTTCCAAGTGACATTTTGGAATGCAGTTTTTGCTGTTCCATCTGCAGATGTTCCCCTCAGCAGATGCACAACTTGAAAAATAATAACTGCTAAAAATATGCAAGCTGTCAGCTTGATTTCTACTGAGAGAACTGTAACTTCAATTAAGATAAATTTGTATTTAAATGCAATGTAATACATTTAAATTATGTCCAAAGACTGGTAGCAATCTCATCAAATGGTGCAAATAATCTTATCATTAATGCTTGATTTGAGCCCAAGGTGGGGAAAGGTGGGGTAGAAATGTTGCTGGGTAAGATAAAAACACTGACAAGAGTTTTGAAAAACAGAAAACATGAAAAAGCTTAATTAAATAAGTAGTATTAATATTGTATTCTTTGTTATTCACAGCTTAAAAATAGCTCTTCCTTTGTGCTTACACCTTTAAAAGGTCTCAGAGCTGTAATGTTTTTTCACCTGACCTTGCAGAAAATATTTGTCTGAGCATACTAAATGAGCTGTGAAAGTACAAACCTTCAAACAAACCTTTAAAAAAAGCAAAGAATGATGCTTCCTTTCCACTTAGTTCAAGGTTAATTTTCCTTGCTGGGAAGACAGTAAAAGAAAATCAGTGGGAAATTTGAGAGCTCATTGGCAAGCACAGAGCCCGTGCACCTCCAGCAGCTCCCATTTGTCAATGTTGCACCCATTGATAAAGTCAGAATGAGGACAGGATGTCAGGAGGCTCCTTTTTCTCACTGCACTCACACGTAATAAATCAAGAGAAGAGATTGAGATGTTGTGGATGTTGATAGAGCAAATTTGACAAACTGGCAGATTTTATGCATATGGAAGAGTTATGGAATGATGTACCTTAAGCAAAGATCAATATTTCATGACAATGCTCCTGTTCATTTTTCTGATGCAGAAGAGTTCCTTCTCATCTGCGTGTGGGTGTGCACACACACATATATATAAATAAAGTGAGATTAATGAAGTAAGGAACTCTGGCTAAAAACAAAGACAGTTTCAGGGAATAACTTGGAAACAAGTCTGGCTTTCCAAGTGCAGACTTTAAAACTCCTACCTCTCTGCAGATTCATCTGCATTTTGCTCTGTGATCATCTGCAGCTCCTGCGAGGTTTTACTGGAGTCTTCTTTCGCAGAGTTTTCCTCGGTGCTGTTTTTGGGGATGTCCTCGCTGGCTCGCAGCTGCTCGATGAGGTTCTGCTGGTGCCAGCTGTGGATGGATCGGTGATGCACCGGCGTCGGCCCCGGCACGGGGGCCAGGATGTTGTGGTGGACGGGGCTGCTGTTCTTCTTCAGCCCATTCCTGTCCCGAGAGTGGCTCTTCAGCCTGTTCTGCACCGGGGTGCCTCTGTGCTCGAATGCTTCCTGCTGATGGCAGCCCCCGGAGCCGGCGGAGCCCTGCGAGGGGTGGCTGAACCACCTCCAGCGGAGCCTCAGGATCTGCTTCACATCAAACTCCTTCTTGCCAGACACTGACATCTTATTTGGGGTTTTATCTTATTATTTTATTATTTTTTTTTTTTCTTTTCAGAAAGGAAAAAAAAAAATAAATAAATGCGAAAAGCCTATTCTTCTAGGAAGGAAATGGATTCTTTGTTATCTCTTCTGTTTCAACTCCTCTTCTTAAGAAAAGCCAACAAAAGAACAAATCTCGGCAGCTCTCTCCGTGTCTCCGATTAACACACGGCGAGCTCTCGCAGCCGATGCTGAGCTGCTGTTAGCTGTATAGGTGGGAATCCATCCTGACAGGATGATGAGGTCAGACCTTAACCAAGTAAATCAGCTTAGCACAGGAAAGCAGCGAGCACAACGCTGCCAGGCTTACACACACACACACTGCCAGCCCCAGCGCTCGGCTCCGGTTTATAACCCAGCCTCACATGATCCTCAGCCAGCCCCAGATGCCACTTAAGATGCAGGGAAGCATGCAGAAATAAAGTGACAAGACTTTCCGTCTATCTCACGGCGTTCTCCATCAAGCCTGCTAGTTAGCAGCGCTGCTTTTCACGGGAGATGAGGAGAGGATGCTTTCCGGAGGAATTTTTTTGGTGGCGATTTCGCGCAGCTCACGCCTTTCCTTAAGGGTCTGCGTTTGTTTGTCTTGCTGTGTAAAATTCCTCCAAATGGCCTCGGTGTGGTAGCACTTAGCTAAAGGAGAGGCAGGGTGCAGGACTGGCTGTGCTGCCTCACCTACAGCCGGATTTCTCAATAGGATTGCAGGGCTTGGAGAAGAGAGGGAGGGAACTCAGGAAAATCCGAGATGTGCTCCCTGAATGTCTGGGTCTGTGGAAAACACAGTTTCCTGGCTAAGAGCCTGTGTAAACAGCCTTTCCCATCCTGCTCTTGATTTCTCACAGACAGTGAAGCACTTGTGGGTTGTTGTTTTTTTTTTTCTGAAAACACCTTTCTTTTCTTTCTTTTGATAGCGTGCGCTGTGTTTTCAGCAAATTTAATAGGGGAGATGTTTTCATTCCCATCCCTTGGTTACCAGGCAGGGCTGTGAGAACTGTTCCCTGTGTGGTTTGAAATAAGGTACACAGGATGTTTGTTTCAATTTGTGTGCAAATTGAAAAGAAATTAACAGACTGGATTTTTTTTTAAATTTTTTTTAATGTTCTATTCTCCCAGGTTGGCTATGATGGTCTATCAAACTGTAAGAAGTGTGCAGAAATAGAAGCTGTAACACAAAGTCAGTAGAACATGATTCAGAGAGGACCCCTCTCTAACACACCTCTCCTCTCAGACCTTCTGGCATTAATTTCCTTTTCATCTGTCTTTTCTGACAATTTTTCTTACTTTTTTTAACCGAAATTCTATGATGGGACATTGAACCTTCAAATAAAATCTGATTTTTTTATTCTTTTGGAGTGAATATAATACAAGCAATGAAATGTGAAATAAAGTTAAAATAAAAATAAGAAAAAGCAAAATGAGAGGCTAGGACTAAGGAATTGCCAGTTTTTATCCTGAGCTACATTGCTCCTGTCCTATTCATGGTATTCAAGCATGGGATGTGCAGCATCATGGGCTGGATGCGTGTGAGAGCAATTACAGGATGAGTGAAGAACTCATCAAAATAATTGAAAGATATTTTCCTGTCTAGATCCATAGAGGGGAAGACTTTGCACAGAAGAAAACCTGTGTGAAAGGCTTGGCTATAAAAGGCAGAAAGGAAGAAGCTGAGGGAAGATTTGACAGACGTAGCCAGTGCATATTTGTTGCTATAGAGAAGATTGAGGCTGAGCTGCAGCAATTAAATGTACATTAACAAGATTTCCTTTGAGATCTTCTAGGAATAGAGAGAAGCTACAAAACTTATTCAACTTCTAAAAAGTCACATTAAGAAGAAGGTGAATAAAGGCCTATTTGTGCATTTGATCAGTTCAGGCTTGTTGAGGATATGAGCTGATAAAGAAGCTGCCACCAAACTTCGGGGATATTAAAAGATTTACAGACAGTGAGTGGATCAGTGAAAGTCTGGGCATTGACCAAGAGAGATTATTGTATTGAATTACAGAAGTCAGTTGAAGATGTTTTCATACTTTAATGATGATCTTTGTCAGCAATCTGAAATGTTCTGTAGAGCCAAGTGTTTCAGGGATTTTTTTTCTTGCATTACAAGTTTATAATATTCAACATGATTTTTCTTTACTTCTCAGTTTCAGCCGGCACACCTAAGGATGTTTTTCTTTTCAGTTTCAGACAAGTAATGAGAGTTAGTGGCATCTCTGTATGTTCCTGAGGATTGCCTACATGGCAATTTGACTTCTATTTTAGGGGGTAGTCTCTATACACCAAGTTAATGAAATAATTTATGATGAAATCTTGTAGAGGTGGACAGAGAACACAGTTTCTCGCTCCTGTTTAATCAGGTCATTGAGCTATCTCAGCAGCTCTGTCAGCTCCTCTTAGCAACAGCTCTGATACATTTAATCCATATTTTTCCACCATGTCACAAAGCTTCTGTCGGTTTCCTTCCCTTAAATCTCTTTTGCAGGAGTCATCCTCTGCTCTGAGATATCATCAAAAGCATATTTCTTGCATTGTACTGCGGGATGTACAAGCAGCACTTCTGCTTGTGAATTACTCCTGTTCCTGCTAACTCAGTTTTAGCACAGGTAGTGAATCTAGCTAAAATTAAAATAGTCAAACTGGACATTTGCTGAAGAGACCACCTTGCTCAGCCTGAGTCAGCACAGAATATGTTTCAGGTGGGGCATAAGGAGATTATATTTTTACAGAGCTTGCCAGTGTTCTGCCTAAAATTTCAGTGTGCTGTACCAGGTCAACAAAAGTGATTTGCTAACCAGAAATTTCAGGCCTGAAATTATTGGAAGTGTAGCATATATATATATATATAACCCTGGAGCAGCTTTATGCCATGTACCTGCTTTTCACCATTTACATTTCTCTTCTGGTGACAAAATTAGTTCTCTTGAACCTGAGTGCAGTGAGTGTTTCCTTCTGGGTGATTTCCTCCTCACACACTTTTACATGTATCTCTGACTGGGTTCAAACTTCTAAATGAGAAAAGAGATAACATTTTTCTCTTATTGCTAGCCCTAATTTAAGGCCTTTGGTCTCATTTAGATGAATAACCCCATAACAGCACTATTTTTTCCCCCCTCATGGCTGGAAATCTCCAAAGAATGGGATTTTCTGGGAATATAGCAAATCCAGCCAGGGCCACCACAGGGTCAGGCAGCTGGATGTGATGGATGAAGGGAGGCAGCTGCAACAGGATTTGTTCAACCTTGTGCAGAAAAGGCTCAGGGGCATTTTCGTGCTGCCTGCAGGTAGCTGGTGGGAGAGCAGAGGCAGCAGAGCCAGGCTGTGCCAGAGGACACCTCTGGGGAGAGCAGGCACGTGTTGGGCCATGGGGAAAGCTGAGAAGATGTAAGAAAAACTTTCTACCTGTGAGAGCAATCAGGGATGTGGGAGGAGGCTGCCAAGAGAGGCTGTGGCATCTCCTTCCTCAGGGAAAGTGAAATCCACTGAGGGAGGGGATGCCCAGAGCAGCTGTGGCTGCCCCTGCATCCCTGGAAGTGTCCAAGGCCAGGCTGGACAGGGCTTGGAAAAACCTGGGACAGTGGGAGGTGTCCCTGCCATGGCAGGGGTGGAACTGGATGGGCTTTGAGGTCCTTCCAACCCAAACCAGTGTGGGGTTCTGTGATCCCCAGTGGAATTGTTTCTGTGTCACTGCTCCAGCTGGGCTTGCTCTGAGCAGATCAGACTGGACGAGCTCCAGGGGTCCCTCACGAGCTGCTCTTCTGTGACGGTGTGACATGCCAGGCACTCTTTGATATCTTTATCTCATGGCAGAGCCAAGTAAAATCCATGTGGTTGTCAGCTGAGAAGAGCAAATCCATCTCCAGAGCTCTCCCCTGCAGCAAAGCATCGCTGCCTGCAGGGGTGGAGCGTGGCCAGCTGCTCAGCCCAGGGGAGGCTCGCCAGGACTTTGAGGAAAAATAAATCTTTATCCACAAAAAAACCCTCCATCCCACTCAATGCACACAAGATTTGGAGAAAGGTCCTTGCTCCTGTTAGGAGAACACATTAAATTTGATGGTAGACTGGCAGCCAGCAGGAAACTGGGAATGATTTGAAAAGCTTTGTATAAACAAGTTGAGCTTGCAGATAGTTTGGATGATATGTATTAAGAGTCTAAATAGGTTTTTGTAATCATTTTAAGATTACATGTGTGAATGCCTGATGCACTGCTAGATTTAGAAAATTATAAAAGTACTTTGGTCATAATCTGCCTATAAAAAGAAGTTGATAATTTTGTCACAAATCATGCTTTAAATAGGCTTCAAAAATGACTTTTAGCTACAGCTGCCTCCCAAGTTTGTCTGCCACCAAAGCACCTAAGAGAAAGGAGATTTGTAATGTATTTCAAAATGTCTGAATTTTTCAGTTAATAACTCAGTAATTTCTTTGAAAATTGAAGCAAGTAGAATATACCCATGCAGTTATGTAATGTTTATTCTCTTCTCAATAGAGACATAGAAAATTATTATTTTTCCTTCTTCTTTTTGCCCTGAGCCTGGTAGTACTGTGCCTGTATGGAAAGCCTGTTAGAAAAATCTCACTCTGCTCCAACAAACCTAGAAAAGAATAATAAAAAGAGGAATCATCCACCTTTCTTGTAAAATCTCAGAAATCCCAGAAAAATACCACTTATGGAGACCAAAGCCTGGAGTATTGCAGGGACTAGCAGCAAGAGCTGATAAAGTTGTTCTTTGCTGGATATGAGACAGACCATAAAAAAAATTGACTTTTTTGTTGAAGTCAAGGATAGCTCTGGAGCAGAGTTCTTCAATGCCAGGTGACTGAGTCAAATAGAGAAAAATCTGCATAGGCTGAATGAGACAAGCAAAACGCAAGATAAGCACAAAAAGTGAAGAATGTTTTGTTATTTTTTTGAAGACATTTTTTCCCTACAATGATATTACAATATTTAGAAAGTCAAGTTAATTACTCCTATCAATGTTGTTTACCGAGTTTGCATGGGGGGAACAGCATAATGAGATTTTCCCTGTGCACAGATTGTTGATAACTAAACCAAGCCCTATTAAAAAACAGTTCCCTCTGTGCCCAAGCTGTGTTCCCCAGGGTCTGCACACTTTGTGTACTCAGCCTGTGCCCTTCCACTGCAGATCAGGCCAGATACACAGAACTTGAATATTTTTATTACCCTGTTTTGAAAAACAATGCCAAAAAGAGCTGCCATTAGTCCATCCTTTGTGCAAGAGATAGGCCAGGAAACATCTGCACAGCGCAACAGCAGCGTTACAGGAGCCAGAGTTACAGGGAAAGGAACAGGACAAAACCCAAAACAAATACCCATATTTAAAATCTGTAGGAAAATCTGCTTTCTTTTCAAAGAAAACTTTGAATGCCAAAGACACAAATGAGTTGAAGACAATCAGTGACTTCCCCTGCTCCCCACTAAGGGAGGCAGGAGAAATGATCCACTTAAGGGAAGGTGTTGACACATTTAAACGCAATTGCTTCCTCAAATAACTGGGAGCTATCCTACAGATTGCAACCCACCTACAAAGCTCTGTGACAAAACTGGAAAAAAAAATCACAGCATTCCCACAAGATCCAAGGAAAAAGAATGTGAGACATGAGCCTGGTATGAGTAAGTCTGATGAAGATCTTGATAAACAGTGGCGAAAGTTGTCACCCTCCAAATGAAACCAGAATATTGGAGTGAAATAAGAAAGAGCAAATGAATAAGAAACAGCAAGAGGCTCTCCCATGGACAAGGGCTTGAAAGTGATGCAGCAAAAATAAAGCTCAAATTCATGACTTGAAATACCTGTAACGGGTCAAGAAAAAGATATAAAAGAATGGAAAAAAATGTGGATTGATGCAAAGATGTATAAAAACTCTTTGTACTGATTTTTATTTCTGTGAATTCTCTTCAGTTCATCAGCATCTTTCTCGTGTTGCTGGGGCAGGGTTGTGCAAACCTGGCAGTATTTATGTGTGTTGAGTTAAAGGGGACTGCTGCTTACCTAGGAACCACTAGTAAATTACTAGTAACTACCAGTAAGTAGCAGAATTGTAGCTGCAACTTGCATTTATTGCATGAAACAGGTGGATCAAACAAGCCTGTGATGGCTTCTATTCCACAGATGTAAAAGGATCGTGGTAGTCAGGTTCTTGCAGAAAATACTTGAATATTCTGCACACTCAGTGATAACAATAACCCCTGTTTAAGCCCCAGTTATTACTGTGGGGTATGAAGGAGTATGGAAAGGACCTGGCACACCCTCAACAAAGCCCAGAATGTAGATTTGACACTTGTCAGTACAGCTCTGTATCATTTCCCATCTGAAAGCCTTGGCAGAACAAGGACTTGTGCCCAAGGTCACTCTTCTCTGGGAAGGTTTTTTAATGTGACTCTTGTTCATTGTCTCTTAAAAAGTAATAAATGGCACCTTTAATTGCAGGAGAGGGGAATCCTGGAGGCAGCTGTATTTCTGTGCATTGTAGACTGTAATGGTTCTTAGCAGTATTTCTATTTTAATCCCACAAAGGTGTGCTGAGGCTCATGAAAGGTGCTGTATGTCAATAAAGTCCCCTCAGATATGTAGTCCTGCATCTCTCCTGAATCCCTGACTTCAGGAGAACTCTTTGGTTGTTCCTGGGAAAATGAGTGGCCTGGGGCAGGTGTTGGAGAGGTCTGGGACAATTGTTTTGTGTCTTTCTCCTGAATGGCTTCTCTGACTTGCAGGGCACACGTGAATAGGAGCACAGGCACACCCCCAAGCTCCCACCTTGAATCCCAGGGATTTTTGTCTCTGCAAGGGTGCAAAGAGGAATTCTAGAACAGCAGCTGCTTTGCCTTTACATCAACAAGTCAACAGTGCCATTTTTTACAAGTTGAGGCTCTCACTGCTGGCATTTGGTAGCACAAAAATCCATCAGCCTTTTCCCTACCTTCAGCTTCCCTCCCAGCTGTCATCACTTTTCCCACCAATTTTCCCAGAGGTTTATCTCTCCTCTGTGATTCCATAAGAATGCAGGGGGCAGAATAATTTTTAAAATCATGTGTTCAAAAAGCATCATAGTCAAAGATGATCTGAAAAAGTGCTGTGAAGCAATATCCTTGTCAGCAGCCTGTCTCCAGCACCCTGACACCATTCCTTTGCTCATGTCGCCTGTAAAAGCACACAATAACTCAATTTTTACCTTGACAAAAAACCATCCAGATCCACATCACAATATTATTGTTGCTGAGCCTGCTCTAGCTGCTATCAGATGCCAAAACACCTTGAGGCTGCACTTTCACTGTGTGATACTGGCTGGGAATATAAAAATGCAAAACTACATTTAAAACACTCAAGACCTAAACTTCTCATGAAAAAAAAAATAAATATATAAAATTTTGGTTCTTTCATCTTTGAAATTTTTAGAGTGGAGAGACTCAGCATTTCTATTTTGGTGTGTAAGGAATTTTTAGTAAGTGTTTTCATATTTTCTGGGGGAAGAAATAGATGTACATGTGAGTACTGTGCCATAAGATGAAATCTGGGAATTGATAGGAAAATAGAATATGTTTTATCTTCATATCTATTTATTAATAATAAAAAGGTACTGAACAGCATAGTGATTATATTTGCAAGTGAGAGCAAATTTCAGGGAGAGAGGGATGGCATTGAACCTCCAGAAAACACAGATTACTGAATCTAACGTACAATATTCTGAGACAAAGCCTATTAATGACAGATCCCCAGAAGACCAGAGACACACAGCCTGCTGAAGAGAAACAGAAGTACAGAAACCAACACATTAAATTTGACTATTTAGCATAAAAATGGCTGAAAAATCCAGTTATGGCCTAGGAGAGGGGTGTGATCGAGAATATCACCTCTATTTTAGTGTAGATTATGCTGTTTTAATTCTTTGCAGAACTTCACCAACAATCTCATTTGATACAGCTCCTTGTGTCTTAACCTTGAACCTGAGTTTTGCTGTGATTTGTGCCACCCCAAACCCCAGTGATGTGAGAAGAATTCCTGTAGGTGTGACAGAGTCTGAGTGTTAAAAGCTGTAGACAAAAACTTTCAATCCATTTTCAGTTTCCCAGCTCGGTTTGGGCTGTTTTGGGTGGGATGCAGGTGGTCAATCCTGCCTGGCTGGGAGGGCAGCAGGAATTCCTGGTGCTTGGGGGATAATGTCAAGTGGCAGCATTTCCTGAAGGATGCTCTGGTGCAGAAATGGATGCAGGACAGAAATCCCCATCACTGCTGGGTGCTTGTGCTCTGATGAGATCTGGCAATGGAAAGTGGCTCTTTTCTCTTTGATTAAGGAAAATACTTGCAGCTGCATACATTAACTCTAGAAATTCTCTAGCAAAGACATCTCTGCTGTAATAAATTGAATCATATTGCAGGTACACTACCAGAAAGCTGTTTCAGGAGAAATTAAGGCTAGCAAGCCGCCTGAAATTAAGCTTCTGCTGAAATAAATTGGTAATATCTAACTAATATAGATCAGCATATGTCACAAATGAGAGAGATGCTCTTGGCTGATTGTGACAATTTAAAAGGCTGTTTGCATCAAATCGTTTTGAGGTCTCAATTTGCACATCGGGGGTTATAAAGAACTTTAACTTTGCTTTAGAACACATATTAAGTTGTTTGGCACAGTTGGAGTGACAGTGTGTGGCATTAATTTCCTAAATTAAGTTACTGCTCATGCACTTGTTAGTGTGTGCCTGATGGCTTTACACTTTCTTGAGCATTTAGGAATATTGGATGCTATCACTATTTTCACATAAAATGCAATTGTCTTTAAAGAACTGAGCCTGTTAATGTGGTGGTGCTAATGTGGAATTAGTGATCACAGGAAAAATACAACTCCCAAATTCCACTGCTCTAAAATACTCTATTCAGCTAACCATGGAAACATGCAGGAAAGCCTTGGACATGGGGTTGCTTTTTAATCACTGCCAGCAGCTGATTATATTAGTGCCTTATTTCATAATTTTATGTGTCACGTTAATGAAAATGTTATGGGAGAAAGCAGTGGGGAAAGAAAAGCTATTTGCCTCTCCTTACTTACTAACTGCTTCTTGCTGCTCCATTGAGGTGTTTTTTCCCTCTGAAATTGCTTTCTGTGTGCTGGAACACAGCTCATTGTTCTTGTGGCTGACAGTGCAATCATTCTGCCCTGCAGACCTCTCACTTACAGCGAGTACACGCCACAGCAAAGGCACTGCTGGGCCACCAGGACAGCCAGTCCTCTGGAAAATAACACATCTTTTACCTTCACAAGGAAACAATACTGAAATTCCAAAAATCTGTGCCATGAGTCACATTATTTATACAGCAGGATCTTTAATAACCTTCTTTTCACCAACTCGGTCAAGTCCAAGAATAAACAAGAGATTATTCTGTCTGGCCTCTTTAATACCTCTACAAGAACAATATTCCTTCTGACACAACTCACAAAATTCCAGTTGCCTTTTCACCCAGCTCAGCAGCAGAGGATTCTTTATCTTAAATATCTTATTTTGGTCAATATTTTGATTAACACTGCATGAAACTTTCTGTAGCGCTGCCAGCACGTAGGTGGCTGCTTAATCTGGCTGCACAAATCAGCTCAGGGCTAAAGCACAAAAAAACTGCATCTTTAGCTTCACCTGTTAGAAGGTTTAATGTCAGAGGTGTCCTGAAAGGCAAAGTTCAGCCCCCTTGCCTGGCTGTGTCTGAAGAGGAAAAAAAAGTGTGTATTTAGAACAAATACAGTATTTGAATTCTCAGCATGTAGGAGCTAAGAGTTGTACTCAGTGCTGCTGTGATTTAAAGAGAGGCTTTGCTTTGTGTCCCCCTTCTTCAAGCTGTTTGGAGGCATGATTCACCTGTGGTGCTGAAATACGTCAGCAGGATATAAAAGCAAAGGGGGAATGAGGGAAAAGAAAAGGTCTTCACTAATCTTTGCAAATTTTAATCTGTTCCTCAACTGCTGCTGGTCCCCAGCCCAGCTCAGGTTTTGTGAATCAGCCCACAACACCCACGGAGAGTTTTGCAGTGCAGGGCACATCCCAGCTGAGCCTCTCAGAGGAGGGATGTGGGTTTGAAAGACACAATAAAGACTTTTCAAAGCACTGGAGGTGGTTTGTGTGGTACCTGAAGGTGTCACCAGGCAAGCAGGCTCTGCCTGGCAGGAATGAAAATGCCTGAAATGCTGCCTGGGCCCTTCCAGGGAGCTTGCAAGGCACAGACTTGGAACTATTTCAGCCCAGGGATTAAAGAAACATGCTTTGAAAAAGAGGAATGATAAAGAAAAAAAGAGAAATTAAATAGAAGGTTGGATTTTTATTTTTTTTTTTGGTTGGAGCCTGTTTAAATTACTGTCAGCAGTGTAAAATGATGTAAAATGGATCAGAGCTGCCATCTCAATTTTTAATGAGATCCCATCTGAAACAGGAAGATCTCAGGCACGTGGTCCAGGTCAGTGCAAAATTGTCCTTATGTTCTCTTTAGTAAGCTTTAAAGTACTTGATATAGATCATCCATTTCCCTGCAAAAGAGAAAGCTTTTGCATGAACAGACCCACTTTCTTTAACTCCAAACTAAACTCTCTTTTTTTATTGTGCTTGGTTGTGCTGTCGTTCCTGTAAAGGATTCAGAGCTGAATTCCATAGCGTGACTAAAGCCTCTCCTTTCTTTATTTTGTTTTAGCTCAAGGCTTTAATATTATTATTAATAATTTATTCTTTATTTTCTCTCTCTTCCTGATTTTTTTCAAAGCCAGTTTTGCTATTTTTCCTACATTATTTACCCCTAGGCTGAAGGCACATTTCCTACCTTTTTAATTTAGCAGTGGGATATGAACACAGCCAGGTGGAAATTCCTGTGCTGTATTATGCAATCCATAAACTTCCATTGATCACCTAATACAAATAATGCCACTTTGAATTTGGAAATCCCTGAATCGCTTGTTTTTAAAGCAAATAAACATAATTCAAAAACTTTTTTAAAAAAATCTTACTCAGGAAATCATATGATCCACCAGTAGAGTCACTGAGTTTGTTCAATTCTTCAGTCCTGTCAAAAACCTATTAGGTTCCAGTGGGCTCTCCCCAACACATAAATCTTGCCAGGCATCTCTTTCTTAATTACATGGCACAGGCTGTCAGCTTGCAGATGCTGAATAGTAAATTAAATTGTCAGAAAGTTTCAAGTGATTATTTGTGCTCCTGAAGCTGTGCTGCAGAACTGGAAGTGCTTTCCTGGCTACTTTTGGGCACAGCTTTCATTACTCACAGTTGTGAAAACATTTTTGGGTGGGGAGAAATAAGCTTGTATTCAACATCTGCAGACCACAATTTGCTCTGTTTGATCAGCCATTAAAGTCAAGGTAATAAGATACTCCCTGATATTTTTAAGTCTTGGAGGTAAATTTCAATGTCCCACTTGTCTCCTTGTACCAAATCAGGTCTGTGAGGGTGTGCAGCTGCAGATAAGAAATAATTCAATTCCTAGTAAGCAAGAGCAATCTGTTGAGAAATTGGGATTTTTCTGCTGAAAATACCAGAGTATTGGTCTAGAAGTTATAATGAGAATATGTCCTGGGTATTTTTCCATTATCTTTTATCCAAAGCTCTGAAAGCCTCTTCAGAAATCTTTAAATGATTTCTTAGAAAAGCAATACACCCCTCTCTTTACTTTGCAATATATAGATTAACTGTATGCTCTCTGTGACCCTTCTCTCTTTAAAGCAAAGACCAGAGAACTGATTACCTCAATAATTAATTTGGCCTGACCATTGTCCATGCCCTTCTGAGAGTCACCCAGAAGGAAATACACTGGGACAGAAAATATATTGACTATTCCAAGAAGTGTCTGTGCTCCCAGCCCAGAGCCACAGGCCAAAATCTCCATTCTGTTTCCAGCCAGGATACATCCCTGAGCAGAATAACTCCTCAAAAGAAAATAATGCAATATTTCTGTCTCATCAGCACACTCTGATCATGGCAAGGGTGACTTCAGTGGAGAGGTTTTAGGGCAGGATATTTGATTTACTGGAAAATAGTTCCATGGGCAATAATAGTTTGGTGCAACTGTTCAGCTGCTTGGTTTTTATCGTTAAAATAAGATACTGAAGGAATTGTGCATCACTTTTCTTTGCCTCATAGACTTTTTTGTATTTCAGAAAATCTGGTTGCCAGTTAATTCATCTGGGTAAATATCTCCCCTTATAAAAAACACACATTCAGAATTTTTTTAGTGAAGAGGCAGAATGTTGTGCAGCTTGTCAGGCTGTGGGGGTGCCTTCAGAAATGGCTGATGCCAGAGGAAAACACAATTCTGTAAACACCCTGATTTAAACTCAGTCTGAGCTGGGAGAGAGCAAAAACTCAAAGGTTTTGTGTTTTCATCAAGTGCTGAACTGGTTCAGGTAGATAAGAACTATATTAAGGATAGATAAGTGGTTCTGTGATGCTTTTTTATTGTCTTAAGACCAAGACCATCAAAATAAAATGGGCATATTTTTGTGTTTGTGCTAGAAAAAAAAAAAAATCCCCAAATCTACTTTCTTGTTAGCACAGAATCTCCAAAGCTGGAAGATGCTTGTTTCCTTTTGGAAATGTGTCTCTCTGCAGCACTTACACTGTGCATAATTTGTGTGCATGTTAAATATATATCTATATCATTGCTACACATTATCAGTGAGACATTGGCAGCTGACTGCATCAGTCATGGGAGAATTTTCAAAACTGCCACAATTTTAGTTCTGTTGTGGGATAGGATGGAGATGTTTTGGATCCTAAATCTGGGAGTGAAACTGGCAACATTTCTACTGAACTGTCTTCTGAAATTAATTTCTTAAGTTTCACTGCAGGCATATTTTTGTTGAACTACAGATTATTTTTTAGGATTTTTTTGTAGCATAATGGAATATTCTAAGTGGGAAGGGACCCAAAATGATCACCCAAGCCTAAATCCCACTATCTTTGGAAAATTTGGCATAACTTCAGCAGTTTTGCTGAATATTTCCAGTCTGCTAAACCAGGACAGAGTCCACTCCCCCTTGGGGTTATTTTTTTAATGTGGTGTGTTTCAATATAAACCTTTCTCGAGGGTGTGAGAGGTGCTGTGAAAGATGTGGGAATAACTGACTTTGCCCTGTTAATGCACTCAGAACATTTCCCTGGTTCTGAGCATCCCAGGGCAAAACCAGACACAAACTCTTCCCCCAAGGTCCTGAAAAGCCACCACAGATGGGAGAAGGAAGAGGGATGGAGAAGGCAGAGCCAAATGTCCCAAGATATTTCCTCCCTATTTTGACCTGCTCAAAATCCAGCAGCAACCATTGGAACCAGCGAGCACCGCTCTGTCCCTGGGATTTATGAGAGCCTGAGGATTTTACAGAGGATTTAAAGACAGGCTCATTGCTTTAAATCACTGCAAACAATGTGTCTTTAAGAGTCCTCTGTTGTGTTGCTTGTGCGTGAGGAGCGTTATCCTTGAACTTTCCCCCAAGGATCTCGGCGTGCTGCTAAAATCTGCTCACAATAAACACAATTGCAGGTGTGCAGACACAGAATTATAGGAAGTGCAAACAAGACCCCTGTGTAAAGCAGAGCACGCACAGAACCAGGGAAGTTCATGATTCAAGTAGCTTAAAAGACTTTTTAATAGCCAGTGAAGGAGGTTGTTTGCTTTGGGAAGGTACATACAATAATAATGCACGCACTTAGTGCAGAAAGAGACGAGGCAAAGCAATTATTCTGCTCTTACTTGATGTTATTTGTATAATGAACCACCTAGAATGAGGTATTTTGCCAAAATACCTTGTTTAAAATACTTTGTCAGGCAATCTGAATTGTAATTTATGCATGAATCAGCCAGACCTGATGTGCTTTGTTATTTTTTTTTCCCATTATGTCGCTGTTGCAGCAAAGAGATCTCAGAGATCTCAAACTTTTGCTTTGTATAGCCCAACATGAAATTGCTGAAGGCAACCTCCTCCTATTCCTTAGGATTTCACCATCCATGTAGGGACTAAATTGAATTTAAAAAAAAACATTTAAATTTAAAATAATTGAATTTAAAATCAAATAACAGCAAGGCCATGGTGCTGGTGTGTGCTGGAGGATTTCCTGAGCAGTGCAAAGGTGAGACACAGGCAGTTCACTCCAGGCAAGGAAAGGTGAGGTGTGCAAGGCAGAGTCTGTGCAGAGGAGTTCTGCTCTGCTGGAGCCTCGCCAGCTGCCATGGGGATTACTGCATTTGCTTGACAGTGAACACTCTGAAAGAGCCATGGAAATGTCCATCACTGAGAGGCTTCTGAAGATGCTGAGGATATTTCTTAGCTAAAGTGTCAGTGATTGTTCAGCTGCCTCTCTCGTTTTTAGCTGGTTCTAAGTGTGGATGGTTTTTGAAGACTGAGTGGAACAAGATCAGCATTCCTTGGAAAAAACCCTTTATATACTGTATTTTCTGGCATTCTCTCCCTGTGTAATAGGATGTTTAAGTTGATGCAGATTGTTGGGGTTTTTTTTCCATTGTATTGTATTTAAATATATTGAGACCTCAGAGCTGGCAATTGGAAACCCAAATTGAAAAACTCTAAGAATTGGAATATAACAATAAAATTGTGCCATTGCTGCAGTTTGTGAATGACATTCAAGCTCCATTATAAATTTAACTCCTTTCTGCATTACCTTCTGTATTAAGAAAACCTGTTCAATAGGTCTAGGGTTTTTTCACACTGCCCTAAATTTCATAAAATTAGGGCAACTATTCCTCCAGCTCAGAACTTCCAGTGGAAAAAGAATTAGTTCTTGGGAAACTGCTGGTTTGAGTTCTGCTGAGGTCCACAGGGGCACAGGGCAGTGACCAGAGGTGCTTTTGAAAACCCACATTAACAGAACTGCCTTTTAAACTCTGCTGCTCGCCTCAGAAATGGCATTCTTATCTTCTGCATGCTTGACTAGAAGTATATAAATATTGCATGCTTGATTTTAAGCTAGGAAAATTCATAGTGGAAATGTAGCATTTCAGTAGAAGAGAAGCCAATACCGAGGTCAGAAGAGCTGGAGTAACAGCTCTGGAAGTAAATGTCAGAGCAAGGACTGCCTCCTTTTATGTGGGATGGATTTTAATTGTTTTTATTATTATTTTTAAGGCGAATATGGTGGTGTGCTTGCTTTTTTTTTTTTTTTTTTTTTTTTTTTTTTTTTTTTTTAATAAGAGCTTAGAGATTTTTTGGAAAAGGACCTTGGTTTGAGAGCAGCTTTTAAACTTGAGCTCCAGAATTTGGCAGCAGGCAGGAGTGTTGCCATGGCAACCCATTATCTGAGGCTGTGTTACTGAACCTCCTGCCAGTTCACCCACAGTTGAATGCTGAAGGCAACCTTAGAGGCTATTGAATGTTCTGTCCTGGAACAGCCCAGCCAAAAATAGCCTGGGACTTGGGAACAGCAGCAGCTATCTGGGAAAAA